CCCTCCAGCCCTTTCACCAACCCTGATACCAACCATTCCTCCCCCAGCACCCACCACCCCTCTGCTGGATTCGATAACTCGCTGCAGTGGCCACACAGAATTCACAGATTATGGGCTTTATTACGGAAGCAACAGGCTACAATTCAAGTTCCGGAACACATCCAGTCTCTCTCAGCCTGCCATCTCTCAGGTGACAGTCTCTCTCAGCAGTGTGTGTCTCTCAGTGTTTCTCTCCCAGCAGCACATGTCTCTCGCATCTCTCTCAGCAATGCATATCTCTCGCATCTCCCAGTTGGCAGTGAGAGAGATTCGTTCTGCCTCTAGGAGGGCTCCTTTTGAGCCTGGCAGAGTGACCAAACTAACCAATCCCAACACCAGAATTCTATACACTTGAGAATGAGCGAACTTCCCAGAAAATTAATTACTTCATGCTACTCCCAACAGATGGGAGCTCTGGTAGCGTAGTGTCTTAGGCACTTGACTGCTAACCAGAAGGCTGGTGGTTCAAACTCACCAGCCACTCCTCAGAAGGAAGGTTGGGCAATCTACTTCCGTAGTGATACTGCCTCGGAAATCCAAGGAGGGGTCGCTATGAGTCAGGTCTGACTCGATGGCATATAAACAACAATAACACTCCCAACAGAAACACTCCAGGTGGATAACTTACACAATCAGGAGCTACTCAGTTGCTCATGGCAAATTCCACCACAGAGTTTACAAAGACTTATGTCTAGAAAAGCCTACCAGGTAATTTCCTACTCCACAGACAACTACATAAATGGAAGAACTTACCATGCTCATGGATAGGAAGATTGAACATTGTGAAAATGTCAATACTACCCAAAGCAATCTACACATTCAATGCAATCCCAATCCAGATACCATCAACATTCCTTAAGGATATGGAAAAACCAATCACTAATTTTATATGGAAAGGAAAGAGACCTCGGATAAGCAAAGCGTTTTTGAAGAAAAGAACAAAGTAGGAGGTCTCACACTGCTGGATCTCAAAACCTACTATACAGCCACAATAGTCAAAATTGCCTGGTATTAGTACAATAACAGACACGGACCAGTGGAATAAAATTGAGAACTCAGAAACAGATCCATCAACCTATGGCAATATCCATATCTCACATCATACACAAAAACTAACTCTAGATGGATCAAAGACTTAAATGTGAAACCTAAAACTATAAAGTTCCTCAAGGAAAAAAATAGGGGCAAATTTAGGGGCCTTATTTATGGCATAAATAGACTGTCAAGTATAACCCAAAATGCACAAACAGCAGAAGATAAAATAGATGGATGGGACCTTCTAAAATTAAATTTTTATGTGTATTCAAAGACTTTTCCAAGAGTCAAAAGAGAATATACAGATTGAGAAAAAATATTCGGCAATGATATATCTGACAAGGGACTTATCTCTAAAATTTATAGAAAGCTTCAACACTTCAACAACAAAAAGACAAATAACCCAATTCAAAAATGGGCAGAAGACATGAATAGACACTTCACCAGAGAGGATATTCAGGCGGCCAACTAACACATGAAGAAATGTTCATGATCATTAGTCACTAGAGAGATGCAAATCAAAACAACAATGAGATATCATCTTGCCCCAGCACTGATAGCAAAGTTCAACAAGTAACAAATGCTGGCAAGGATGTGGAGAGATTGGGACTCTCATACACTGTTGGTGGGACTGTCAAATGATACAACCACTGTGGAAGCAGTATGGCAAATCCTTAAAAAGTTGGAATTAGAAATACCATTTGAGCCAGCAATCCTATTTCTAGGTATATATCCTAAAGAAATGAGAGCCAAGAAAAAAACAGATATATGCACACCCATGTTAATCGCAGCACTATTTACAATAGCAAGAAGATGGAAACAACCTAGGTGCCTACCAACAGAAGAATGAATAACCAAACTATGGTACATACACACAGTGTAATATTGTGCAACCTTAAAGAATAACATAGAATCTGCAAAATACCACATAACATGGATGAACTTGGAGGATATTTTGCTGAGTGAAATAAGTCAGTCACAGAAGGACAAATATTGTATTAGTCCACTATTATAAAAATTCAAGGATAGGTTTATATATGGAGGGACTTTCTTTTTTGGTTAACTGTACCAGGAGGGGAGGGGAAAGGAACACTGCTAGATAGGTAGAGCTTAAGTACTGATTTGGGTGAAGGGAAGGGTAATGTACCAAATATGAGTGCTTCAACACACTGGCACTGAAGAACAGAAGGACACAGAGAGATAAGTGGGAGGTCAGACAACAAAGATGAACCCTTCTGCACATACAGTACTGCATTGTCAGTGATGATCTATAGGTGGATAGATGGGTGGAAAGGCTGAATGATCTGGTTTGTCTAGGCAGGGGGTAGTGTGCCCATGACCACGTACAGGGCTGGCAGACAATGTTTCTACAAGTGTATTTGTATATGTTGTAAGAATGGCCAGGTATATAGTAGAGTTCACAAGGGACAAGACTGTGGTGACTTTTTGGCCACAGCCAGATACCCGGAGGGGACAAGTAGTTGGACTTGTGGGCTCAGGACCATGGTCACGGGGGACATCAAGCTCAACTGGCATAACATACTACACAAAAACATTGTTTCATTTACCTGAAGTAGATACACTCCTTGAAGAGAACAATCATGAGAGAAAGACGGGCTGCGTATGCACAGGGAGACAGCTCAGGGGGCAGGAGTGCATGGAGGCATGGACACAGGGAAGAGGTAACTATAGGGAGGAAGTGGAAGGGGAGCTGTTGCATCATGGTAAATTGTGGTCAATGTCATGAGACAAAGTATATGTGAACTGCTGTATGAAAAATGAATTTGCTCTGTAAATTTTCACCCAAATCACAATAAAAAATAGAAAGAAAGAAAGAAAAAGAAAAAAAAAAAAACATTGTTCCACATCCTACTTTGGTGTGTAGTGACTGGGATCTTAAAAAGCTTGCAAGCAGCCATCTAGATGCAATGATAGCTCTCTCCTCGTCCAGAGCAATGAAGAATGAAGAAAACCAAAGTTCCACAGAAAGAATTAGTCCAAGGGACTGGTACACTATGTGATCCTCAGCCTATATGAACATGACACCAGAAGAACTACATGGGCATCAACTACCACTGTCAACCACTCAGAGGGGGATCTGTGTAGGAGACCCCAGATAGAGGGGGAGAACAATGTGGAACACAACTCAAAATCATTGGGAAAAAAAAAAAAAGACCAGGTTTGCCGGTGTGATACAGCCTGGTAAAACCTCTGAAACTATGGCTCTCAGCTGCCCTTCAGATCTAGAATTGAACTTACTCCTACAGCTTCCAGCCAAATAATAGATAGGCATATGGGCTGAACATTTATATCAGGCAGATATTCTCCATCATTAGAGAATAGAAGGGCAGTGTATGCACAGGGAAACAGCTTGGGAGGCAGGAATGCATGGGAAGAAAGGGCACAGGAAAGAGGTAACTGTGGGGAAGAAGTAGGAAGAGAGCTGTTACACTGTGGGAAATTGGAGTCAATGTCATAAGACAAAATGTGTATGAAGTGGTGTACGGAAAATGAATTTGATCTGTAAACTTTCATGCAAATAAAAAAAAAGATAAAAGGCCAAAGCATGAATAGGTTCAAGAAGTTTCACATGCACCTGTGGTACACAGCTAGATTTGAGAAACACTCAAAAAAACAAGTAGGGCTTTAATAAACATATATTAGTAAAGAAATATAAGCATTTTCACTTACTAAAATGCTATTATGTAAATTCTGTTATCTAAAACTAACCCAGAACTCTCTAGTAACCAAGATGAATGCATGTATATTATCATCAGCTCTTGGTACATAAAATACTCAAATATTCTCTAGATAAAAGGAAGATTAAAATATCTTAGATATTGTTCCAATCTATTTTATTTGAAAGTAGTAATTCCTGTCTGGTATATATAATAAGACTGGAAAAAAACAAGAAAACCTTTGTTTTATATAAAAATACAAATTGGGAAACACTGTCTTCTTGGACTTACATGTTAGGTATAGCTATTTATTTAGTACAATAAGCTATAAAGTAAAGATACCTAATAGGCAACGAATTTGTTTTTCAATTCTTTAAATTACAGCCAAGGTTTAAAAACCGGTCCCAAAGCTACAATGTTGTAAAAAATGGCCAATGCTACACAGATGTTTCAGTGGAGCACTAATGTTGCTCTGCTGTGCTGGTGACCATCTAGAACAGATCAAAACCAAAACCAAGCTCTAGAACAGATAGATGCTCTTAATCCAAAATAGGCACATTGGACACTTGAACCACAATCATATTACCAAGAGTTTGCTTGGCAAATTAGTTATATAAAAATTATGGACTTGGAAAAAAGTGTGTGTGTGTGTATGTGTGGGAGGAGGTGGCCTACTTTAAAATTAAGTTGTTTTAAATTATTTTTAAGCTACTCTAGTGGCAGTCTATTTGAAGAACTACTCAAATATGGCCTCACTCCCTTCATTTTACCAAGACTATAGTATTTTGTCTATGCACATGAAAATATTAAAAAATATGACTTTATCTTCCTTTTAAAATAGTCTCAATTTTATTAAGGCCTTATATCCTGATAATTTATTTAGCCAATCTAGGTGATTTTGTTTTGTTTTGGTTTTGACCAATACAGGCAATGCTTCTTAAGCGTGGTTTCACATCTGTATCACCTAGAAAGATTTTTATGCATTGTCCCAACTTTACTTCAGTCCTACTGAATCAGGGTATCTAGGATTAGATCTCAGATATATAGATATTTAAAACTCCCCAGTAATTCTGATGTGCACCTCTAGTTAAGTATCACTGTTTCTAAGGAACCAATTAGACAAAATGGCCCTCAAAAGTGTATTAAACTCGTAAGTACGTTAAACTCACAATCCAAACACTAATTGATCAACACCCTGAAAAACAGACTGGTAACACCAGAATTCAACATTTTTTAGAAACTTAGTACCTGTTCTGATATATTGTAATCCAAACATTTTCTAGGATAGACCAGATTTCTTGATGCCTGTTGGGTTGGGGAAGCTGAGAACCCGAGAAAAGGGTGATTTCTTGATTATTAGACTTCATCGAAGAAGTATTTTCCTTCTTTTTACCCACTGTGTTTTCTGAAGGATTTGGTTTAAGTTTTTCCTTGACCTGGGGAAATAAGAATTACATAAGATGCATTCACTAGTAAGTGAACAAAGCAGAATGCAATTGTGCTTACAAATGTCCTAGCTTTGCGAGCGCTGACTGTTCTTTGTCCTTTATCATGTACATAGTGTTCTCAGAAAAACATCAGAGCTGGAAATGTTATTTTCATTTTCCATTTAAATCAAATAGTATTTCTAATCAGCTTATTACAGTAACCAATCTTAGCTAATATGCTAATGACAATTAAATAATACTGTTTGAACACTTTTACATATAGTTAAATATACTGTAATGAACTAGGTAGAGAATAATCAGGATAAAAAGAAAAAGAAGATATAGTCAAGCCTCCAAGCACTTTAAAATCCAATAAAAAGAATGACATTACAAAAGGCTGCTTTCGGCTGAACAATTAGGTATGGCTATGCAGGGGGCAGTGTGCCCATGACCATGTACAGGATTGGCAGACAATGTTTCTATGAGTGTATTTGTATGTTCTGTAAGAATTCCCAGGTATAGAGTTGACAAAGGACTAGGTTGTGGCCACAGCCAGCTACCCACAGGGAGCAAGTAGTTGGACTTGTGGGCTCAGGACCAGAGTCGCAGGGGACATCAAGCTCAATTGGCATAACATACTACACAAAAACACTGTTCTATATCCTACTTTGGCAAGTAGCGAATGGGATCTTAAAAGCTTGCAAGCGGCCATCTAGATGCAATGATGGCTCTCTCCTTGTCCAGAGCAAAGAAGAATGAAGAAAACCAAAAACACATGTAAGCAATTAGTCCAAGGGACTGGTATACCACGCAATCCTCAGCCTATATGGCTATGAGACCAGAAGAACTAGATGGTACCCAGCTACCATAGTCAACCACTCAGAGGGGGATCTATGTAGGAGATCCTTGAATGGAGTGGGAGAACAATGTGGAAAAAACTCAAAATCAAATAATAATAATAATAATAAGGGACCAGGTTTGCTGGTCTGACAGAGCCTACTGGAACCCCTGGGACTATGGCCCCTAGCTGCCCTTCAGGTCTGGAACTGAATCCACTCCTGTGGCTTCTAGGCAAACAAAAGACAGGTATATGAGCTGAACATTTACATTAGCTAGATATATTCCTTGGAGAGATCAATTATGGGAGAAAAGAAGGGCTGTATATGCACAAGGAGACAGCTCAGGGGGCAGGAGTGCAAGGGAGGGAAGGACATAGGGAAGAGGTGGCTATGGGGAGGAAGTGGGAAGAAAGCTGCTGCACTGTGGGAGATTGCAGTCAATGTCATGAGACAAAGTGCATGTGAACTGCTGTATAGAAGACGAATTTGCTCTGTAAACTTTCACCCAGTTAACAATAAATTAAAAATGAAAAGGCGGGATAGATTTTAAACTTTATGTTAAGGGCAATAGTGAACCACTGAAAGCTCTTCTAATTTAGGTAGTGGTACCCTCAAAATTACAGTTTAAGATAAAAAAAAAACTGGAATAGAAAAGAGTGGAGGCAGGAAGACTGGTTAGAAAGCTACTGAAATAATCCAACAAAGAAGACCTAAGAATTTGAATTAAGCAGGAAAAAGCAGTAGAATGAAAAGAAGAAAACATATGAAAGAACTATCAAAAGTTTAACTACAGGCTTCGCCAAGAACTAGTTTCCGGGAGTGATGGAGACCTTAACATTTCTTTAACCTAGATACGAGAAGAATAATGATACAAATAACAGAAATTTAGGGTGGCCATAAAATGTGGAAAATGTGTGTATATGTGTGTGTTTGTATTGTGATGTAAATAGATTGAGCTCCTTGATTATGTCTCCAGGAGAAGGTAAAGGCTTCATTTTAGTCAGTAAAAAAATTGAACATGCCAATAATCTGAAAGAATGTATCTCAAATCCATGTCCATGAATTGATGAAATGCTGTTTTAATGTACTACAGTCATGGCAATTTTAAACAGCACATTGAACTGTGCATTGGTGATAAGGGACAACACACTGAATATGTCATATAGTATCATGTAACAGTAATAAAGTATTTAATGTATATTCTTCTATGCTTATAAACTGTATTGCCACCCTACAGTAGAGCAAAGAAAGGCTGGTTGGAGACAAGAAAAAGAAGAGGAACAATATAAGGTGAATTATAGATCTACTGATTGTGAGGCATAAAGACATATGTAGGTAAAAATATCAAGCAAGTAATGGGATATTCAGATTCGCAGCTTAAAAGAGACAGATGGGAATCATCCTCATAGAGACAAGCCTTGGAAGCAGATGAGATTGTTGTGGGGAGAAGAAAGAAAAAATAAAATAGGTAAAGAATAAGACAATTTGAAGGAGAAAAGGTGGGAATTAACAAAATGAAAAGATCAATAAGATAGGGGGAGAATCAAAAGTATACAATGTCAAAGGAGGCAACATCAAGTACTAAAGAAAGGCTGAGAGGGTGGAAGAGAGAAAATAAGGTTTGGATTTGATCATTAGGAAGCAAAACAAATGGCAACTAATAAACCCTTTTTACAGTGTTGAATAGAACTCATCTTGTAAATGAATTCAGGAATAAATGAGTGAAGAAATGGACAAAGTGATTACCGACTGCTCTTTAAGAAGTTTTAAGGAGATAGTACAATAAATAACATGGTCAATGAACAGTATTTAAGAATAGATGAGATCTGACCATATTTGAAAGCGGGATAAAAAAAAGTTACACTACGATTCAAATAATTAAAAAAACATATCACCTTGGGGAACAACAGTAACTTAGATGAAAACAAAAATAAACAAAGCCTAATAGAATGGAAAAAAAATAACTAAGAGTTTAAAAACTTAGGTTTTAGTTTGGGCTCTACAGTAACTTACTTTGTGAGCTTAAATGAATCACTCCATTTCTCTAAGCTTAAGTTTCCTTGTTAATAAAAGGATGATTTCAAAGTTTGCTTCATGAGTTGTTAGGTTCATGGGTTGTTTATGCTTATTGAACTGAAAAAAAGTGTACTTCCAATACTATTAGCCCTAACAGTTCATATTTATTGAGCGTTTTCCATGTATAGAAACTGTTCTAAAAATTTTACACTTACTAGCTTATTTAATCTTCACAACCACCACATGAAACAGATGCTATAATTATATACAGTACATAGCTAAGGAAACTGAAGCATGGAGTGATTAAGTAACTAATCCAAAGTCACACAGATGGTAAGTGGCACAAACAGGATTTGACTCTCAGCAAGTACAGGTTCAGCCTGTGCTCATTTAACCACTGTGCTAATTTAGTTTCACTGATATAATAATGCAAACAGATAGCTCTGTCAATTAGGGCAGTCAATAAAGAAAAGCAAGCAGGGTAGTAATCCTTGCCTAGAAAAGAGAATTTATTGGATGAAATTATCATGTCTCGCAATTGGAAAAACATGATCTTGTATCTTCTGGAGCAGGAAGAATAAAATGTATAATTGCTCCCATTTTTGTCTGTTCATTTTAAATTATGAATTTAATAAATACAGATGGATGGAAAGACATTTTTTCCTGAGATTTATTGTTTTTAATTTTTCTATACATTTTAAATAAAATCTAGCATACACCTAATGCCACTTTTCCTCAGTTCTCAAAGAGAAATGTATACAATGATACAAACAGTTTTCTTACCAAACACTTGTATGTACTTACTATGTGTTAGGTACTTTACAAATATTAATTTATTTAATTTGCATAACAATTATAAGGCAGAAATTATTATTGCATCCATTTTACAAAAGAAGGAACTAGGCTTAAAGAGGTTAAGTAACAAAACTAGTCAGGATGGGGATCCTGACACACATAATTTTAAAGCTTATCAATGTGATTGATTTTAATTGTTCTATTATCTTGGCAGAGCAAGTCCAACTTTTCTGGTGGTTGGAAGGCCAAACAAAAGAAAAATGTATATATTCTTTTTCTATTATCTTCTCCCATTTATATAAAAATGTGGAAACTACTAATGTTAGCTATCTTCCCATTTCAGTTTCTCAGAAGCAAATAATGAATATCCTACCTTTCCTGATTTCCTACACACAATAAATTAAGATAAAGTGATCATAAAAAAGACCAGGCTTACCGGTCTGATAGAGCCTGGTGAAACCCCTAAAACTATGGCATCATGTCACCCTTCAGACCTGCAATTTAAATCATTCCTGTGGCTTCCAGCCAAACAATAGATAGGGATACAAGGTGAATATTTACACCAAGTAGGTACATTTCTTAGAACAATCAATCATGGAGATCAGAATGGAGGTATTTGCACAAGGAGACAGTTTAGAGGACAGGAATGCATAGGAAAAAAGAATACAGGGAAAAGATAACCACAGTGAGGAAATTGGAAGAAAGCTGTTACATTACAGGATGGCAAGAGATGTCATGAAACAAAATGTGTATGAACTGCTGTAAGGAAAATGAATTTGTTCTGCAAACTTTCACATCACGATTTTTTCTTTTTTTAAATTAAGATTGGGTGGATTTTTTTTTAACCATTACTCTGTTTCTTTTGTTGCTCAAGTTACTGAGACATGACTTAATGTTTAGGACATATATCACACCTACTGCATTTTACAAAACAAGTCCTCTTGAGCCTTGGATCTTAAAATACTGGAAATGGTCTTCCAAGATACAATAATTGATCTCTATTCACCTGAAGCAGCAGAGGAAGAAAGAAAATCAGGAATAGGAGGAAATAGAATGTTTGTCTAAATGCCTCCATGAACAACTGCCTCCTTTGCCATGAGATCAGAAGAACTGGATGATGTACATTACTGAACATTTTAATCAAGAGTCTATAAAAAAAAAAATCCTGATCAGATGGAAGAAAAGTGCAGAACAGAGTTTCAAAGTTTCATGGAATTCAGACTTTTTGTAGCCAATGAAATTCCACAGTTACTGCCCTGATATAATCTTCAGACTTTAAACCAAAATATCCCCTACTGTGTTTTTAAAAATCAAACAATAATTTAGCTTAATTAGTAAAGAGTATCTGCCTTGAGTGTTGTGCTCTTTTAAAGAGCTATCTATATGGGATCATACTGACAACAACAACTTGAAAAGTTAGATGACAAATTAGGGAGTAGAGAGTTTATGTTAATGGTGGAGGAATAATATAGAAATGGTTAGCAAGAACGGTTGCACAACATGAAGAATATAATCAATGTCACTGAGTGACCGAAGTGTACATGCAGAAATTGTTCAACTTGTGGGTGTTTTGCTACCTATATTTTCACTAAAATATAAAACAAATTATTCAAAAAAAAAAAAGAAAAACTTGTGTTGAAAGTATATTTAAAAGACCCAAGCTAAATCATAATGTCCTGGCTGATTTAGATAATGAACATTTCTAACCTGAAAATAAACAAGTAATACTTCAGAGTTCTAATCCTGAAAGCCAGACAGGTGTTTCAAGCAATCACACTAATCACTAATGCTAACTGGTGAGGGAAAAGAACTAATGAGGATGCTAGCATCTTTGCCAATGACAAACCTCTTGTTAATTAACAAAGAAAATTTAAGACTCAAGAATAAATAATTTAGTAAATAACAATTCGATATTTTTAAATACACAGTAGGCAGCATATAACAGGCATATTATTTTTCTGATAAAGACTAAATTTTACCGATAAATATTTATGGTACCTCTCAGTGTTTCTAACTGATAAAAGGAGCTTAACACTTGACATCGTTTTTATTTATCAGTGCTAAATTTTATTTTATTCTCAAGAGTCTTGATTCAAAGATTCCAAAGCCTGTAAGTATCCTGAACTTTCCATCTCATACGCTTTGTTACTGCATTAAGAATATGATTTAGGGCTTAACTCTGTGATTAATCAAAAACCAAATTCACTGCCATCAACTGGATCCCAACTCAGCAACCCTCTTTGGTTTTCTGAAGTGGTAAATCTTTACAGAAGTAGATCACCCAGTCTTCCTTCTGCAGAGTGGCTGGTAGATTTGAACTGCCAACCTTCTGCTTAGCAGTCAAATGCCTTAGGCACTACACCACCAGAGCTCCTTAATTCTGTGATAGGAAAGGATAATAAATCTTTCCTAAAACATTACAAGTATAATACTTAAACTGCAACTCCCTAAATTCTGGGTCCACTCATTCCTACTAATAGTACTAAGAGTCACACTTGTCATAAAAGAATGGAACTCCTACCAGTGAGTTGGTCATCTCAAACCAAAGGATAATATAACCCCTATAATCAATTCTTTCCTCAAGAATTATCACATATTCCCATTTATAAAAAGGAGACGTCTTTTACTCCATGAGGCGCTCTCTTAGCAACAAACTTCTTTCCTCAGCAACTATACTAAGTTAAGTATCATCTAAACCTTTGGTTAGTTGACGGGTAATAATGGGTCTTATTTGACCATGAAAAATCACTGTGAAAAATCTAGCCAATTCAGATCGTCAGAGAAAAAAGAGAATATAATAGCTGCATAAAATGTAATTTTCATTAATTTCTTATCTAGTAGTCATGATACTGAGTTTTTTCTTTTTTTTTTTTTTTAAAGTACCTCCCATCTATCTCTCTCTGTCTTCTTCTTCCCTCAATGCCACCGTGTTGATCACTCACATTTAGTACATTTTATACTGAGTTTCTTAAGCTGTTTCTGGCACAAAAAATTCTCAGAATTTTCTAGATATAAAATTAGAAGGCTGTAGATACAGGATATAATTCACATAGTAAAACTATGAGCTTGAAACTAATTCAAAATAAAAAGTAAAATAACATAAATAACATTACTGGGTACCACTGCCAGAAATTAGATTCATTAAGATTTGAGAGGGGCTTGGTATCTGCATGTTTGAAAAATGTCCTAAATGTTTCTGATTCATGCTGACATACCTTGGACAAATTTTTCATAAGTAAATTTAAAAGGGGTCAAAAAGATATCAGTTGTAGGTTGGCTGTGTAAGAATCACATGAGGAGACTTGTTTCAAAATGAGGAGGTCAACTGGAAAAGTTTAAATAAACCGTATAGATTAGATTGTTGTACTAGATCAATGTTAATTTCCTGATTGATTGTACTATGATTATATAAAACAATCCCTTGTTTTTAAGGAAATACACACTGAAGTATTTAGGTATGTGTTGTTGTTGTTGTTATTTTGCCATCGAGTCGGCCCCAACTCATAGCGACCCCTCCTTGGGTTTCCAAGGCAGTACCACTACGGAAGTAGGAATGCCCAACTTTCCTTCCGAGGAGTGGCTAGTGGGTTTGAACCGTCAGCCTTCTGGTTAGCAGTCAAGTGCCTTAGGCACTATGCTACCAGAGCTCCTTATTTAGGTATGTATATAGGGACATAATATCTGCAATAAATCCTCAAATAGTTCTGAAAAAAATGTGGAAAGACAGAAAATGGCAAAACAAATGTGATAAAATGTTAACATTTGGGAAATCTGGATAAAGGATATATTTGGAAATTCTTTATACTGCTCTTCAAACGATTATGTGAGCTTGAAACATAATAACATGAATAACATTACTGGATCCTACTGCCAGAAATTAGCTTCATTAAGGTTTGGGAGGGACTTGGTATCTGCATGCTTGAAAAAATGTCCTAAGTGTTTCTGCTTCATGTTGACATCCCTTGGTCTGGAGCACTGGAGAATGAATAGTCAAAGAATAATGCATAACTTTCTTCTACCCATAGACAAAATAATAGAAATCCCAACAACTGCTATGGCATTGCTTCCCTAAGAAGATAATCATGTTTTGCAACTCTTGATAACAGTTTTATTCTCCTTAATACTTAATTACTGCTTTTAGTATGAAAGAACTAAGTTAAAATACCCTTTACCTACTGTTGTCCTTTAGACAGTGTTGTTAGTTGCTGTTTAGTCAATTCTAACTTGGCATTCCAAAGCCTTCTTACCTCTGTGAATGTTTGGATCAGTTTGTTTACTTGAGCAAAGGCTTGTGGAAGAACACCATCATAATTTGACCTTGTACTGAAAGCATGTAACAAACTTTTAGAATCCTGAAGCAGGAATTTTGCTGTTGTAAAATCCACTGCATTATTAGCTGGTTACAGAAAATTTCAAAAGAAAAAATATGTAAAAATGAGTACACAACATTTAGGTATCTTTGGAAAACAAATCTATTATTAATTGTAAAATTTCAGAAGAGCATGCATATATACTTACAAATCACTCCAAATTTATCTCACTGGTGTAAAAAGCACTAATTAAGCAGATTTAGTTACAAACAAGATCTGAAGGAGACTAACAACTAATACAAAGTTATAAACAATGTCCTTGGAGTCAATTTTGGAAATTCTACATTCAGAACATACAACTTCCCTCAACGCAGTCAATCTCAAAGTATAAATAAAGTCAAAGGATATTACTCTTCAAAAAAGATTATCACCAAACCAACAAATTAAATCACAGATTTTAAATCTGAGTTTGCATCATAGAGAGATTACTATGGAAGCATCGGAAGAGTCACATTTTCATGGTAAACACATAAGTTATATGTAGTACCTCCCATAATGAATACTCAGTTATCATGTACACACATATGTACAGAAAGCAGCACTGGTGTTAAGCACTAAATTTACATCCCTGTCCAAACATCTGACACGCATCTTTTAAATAACTTTACTATAGCAGCTCAAAAATACACATCAAACTCATTAGTCTTTTACCTAACACATTATGGCATTACATGAAACTTACAACTGCACTTCCTTTCTTTCACTTATGAAAATTGGTCTATGATGTGCTCAAAGCCACTTTCTTTTTTCAGTTTCTTCTCTTGCTACACTCAACATAGCAAGATTATATAGTCTGCCTTGATTCACAGAGCCTCTCGAATATGAAAATACTAGTTTTAACATGCTGAACGGTCTCTCACAGTTGGTGGTGGAAACTGTGATGTTAAACAGATACTGTGATGTTAAATACATACTTTGCGGTATGCGCCATACCTGCCATAGCTTATGTAGTGATTTACCCTCAAATTCTGTCACATGAAAAGTTATAGTAGATATAATGAAAATAACCTGTTCTCTCTATGCACAGCACAACTCTAACAAAAGAGAAACAACTTCAGCAACAGTGAGAAACTAGCATAATTTTTTTTTCTTGTAAAAAAAAAAATGGAGACAATCTACAAGTTGTAGTTTAAAGATATAGTAATTTTCTCCAAAGGAAATAAAGTTACTTAAATTCTTAAAGGAGTTAAGAAAGCAGTAGCAATTATTCCACAGATTTTTTTAACTGATGAACAATAAAGTAACTTTTTACTGTCACAAAAACTCGAAAAAAAACTAACTCTCCATTATTAAGGTGGAACGCTAAGAACAATTTTTGAAGGCTAAATAACCATGTTACTATGTGTTTGCTTTGTTTTTGTTTTAATGGTCACAATTTGAGAGACTGTTGTATTTTAAATCACCATCACGGTTTTTCACTAGCACTATGAGTTTTAAAAATATAGTTCCTCCAGAGAAGAAGTAAGTACAGGGAGGAAGCAGGAAGAGAGTTGTGACACTACAAGAATTGCAGTCAATGTCATGAAACAAAATGTGTATGAACTGCTGTATGAAAAATGAATTTGCTCTGTAAACTTTCACCCAAATCACAATAAAAATTTAAAAATAAAAATAGTTCCTCTGTATCACTTATCTACCAAGCATTTGATTGTGAAATATGAAAATAAGTTCAAATGAAAATAAAAAGTACATCCTAATAATTAATTCTTCAATAGTCAGAAATTCTAATCTAATGTGACTGTTATATCTAAGCCTATGGCTTCCTCTTTATCAAAAAAAAAAAAAAAAGAAAGAAAGAAAGAAAAAGAAGGGTCTATTTCCTTACAGGTACACTTTTAGTTATTTTCAAAGCCAATGACTAGTTGATCTTCCTCCTTTGGTGAACTTTAAAAATTTCCTGATTGTAGCCTATGTTCGACAGGGCTAATATCCTTGAATTAATTTTTTTATTTGTGTCTTACAAAAATTCTCTACTAAGATTATCAAGAAAAGAATAGTAAATATGATATTCATTCCAAAGATACAACAAGAAACCTATATGATTGAAATAGTTTAATGCTTATGTAGGCCAATATTAGACACAAGTTATTATGGAAAACAAAGTCAGAAACAAATTAGATCACTTCCATAATAGGAGTCTGAAAAAAGTTTCAGTAGTGAAGGTTGTGTGTCAACTTGGCCGGGCTGTGGGTTTGAGCAGCTGGGCAGCTGTATGTAGTTATTCCCTATGATGAGACTGTAATCACCTACATAGTGCAATCTGCTGTGAGCAGTTACCTAGCTGCCTTCAGGGTATGGTCTGCCTCCAGTATATAAAGTGAAGTTTTGAGAAAGGTCACTAGCTTTCTGACACATATGGATCCTGCATTTGGCCAAGCCTTCATTTTAGTAGCCTGCCATGTTGCCTGCTGATCTTGAGACTCTGCCATTTTACCTGCCAACCTTGGGTTTGTCAGCCTCAGCAGCCAGCAGCTTGGCTTAACTTGAGTTAGGAGATAACTCTAGTTACACTGGGCCTGGAGTAAGAGGCAGCTGGGTCAAGGGGCTTTCACCCAGTCCCTAGAGCTAACACTCTGAATTTGGACTGCTAGCCTCCTAAACTATAAGAGAATAAATTGCTAAATCAACCATTTGTGGTATATCTGTTATAGCAGTACAAGAGAGCCAAGACAAAAATCAAGAACTAATTAAACATCCTAGTAACAGTCATACTTTGTTCTTAAAATGGAGCTCTGGAGGTATGGTGTTTAAGTGTTTGATTGCTAAATGAAAGGTCAGCGATTCAAACTAAGCAGCTGTTCTATAGAAGAAAGATGAGGAGTGGCAGTCTGCTTCTGTAAAGATTGCAGCCTTGGAAACCCTATGGGGCAGTTCTATCGTGTCCTATATGCTAGGAATCAGAAATGACTCGACAACAATGGTTTTTGCTTTAGAAAGATACAGCAAAACAAATATACCTGTTTGATTTTAGTCAAGTCATCTAGTTGCCATGTTGTCATGGCTAGTTTCCTTAATCATAAAGCACCAGTTTTAACAGCATTAGATCAGTAATTTTTTCTTCTAAGCAAAGAAACCTTTTTTCAAATCCCACGTGGAATCTCAACATACAAATCACAAAAGAGAGCTTCTCTGGCTAAGGTTGGAATTGAAGGCCAAAGGTCCACCATTACCAGGCTTGCCATCAACCTCTCTAACTTCAGTCAATGATAGTCCCAGAGGCACTTCAAGAAGCGTGGAGGCTCTGTACAATACAATTTAAAAAACCACCAACTAAGTGGTTCTGTCCCAGTTCTAAAATTCACTACTCATTAAAGCCAGAGGCTACCTATTCCTTATCTATTCAGTTTATGTGAAAATCTTGATAAATTATTCTAAAAATTAGTACACAAAATGTGCTCAAATTTAAATAGAGTAAGAAAAGTCTCATCTATTTGCATATCAGAATAGACTATAAAACACAGTGAAAAACTTTTTCATAGCAAATATTAAAAGTGATATATTCATACTATCCAGAAATATCTACAATGATAGCTACAGGTCTATTCACTGCATTTTTCAACCAGCTGCCACAAATTCCCTTTAGCTGTTAGAAGTATAAACAATTAAGAACTAATTAACAAATTTCTTATTAACTCATCTTCCCATGTCATTGAATATATTTGCTAGTCTGACTTAATATTTTAATGTAATTCTGCAAAAGATGAAAGTAAAAGATTCATACCTTTACAAAGATTTTCGTATAGGCTCTCAATGGTTACAAGCAAGTTCTTTTCCATAACTAATCCAAATACAGCCAACCAATGTTTTTTAAAACACTGTAATAAATGTATTAAAGTCCATGGTGGTTTCAAGTATAGTATCTAAAAAGTTTTTTGGGAAAAAATTATCATCTATGAATATATTTATTATTTTTGTCATTAAAAAGTACTTATTTAGGAATTCCTATGTATATTTTCTGAGCAAAATATAGTTAGTTGAATTATTTTTAAATTAAAACTCATTTTATTAACAGCTAATCATAATCTTAAATACTAATACCATTGCAAATTGTGTCTATAAAATTCATTATTAGTACTGATCCTGATTATTCCAGAGACTATCTGTGCAATAAAGAAAGCATAGTTTTAATCAAAAGAAGTTTAAACCAGCAAAGGTCCCTCAATCTACTTTTCAGCATGCTCATTTCTATGAGGAAATCAGTCTAAATATTTCATAACTGAGGAAGAAATATCCTTATAGAGAAAAGTTGTCAAATGTAATTGCCACTTGCTACACTTTTATAAAGACATGTTTAAAAGATTACTTTAAAAGAAGCAAAAGATCATTTATTTCTACAAAATGTCAGCACTTTCTTTTCCAAATCATTCCTAAGCCATAACTTTCCTTGACTCTACTAGGAAATATCTGATCTGTGTCAATCCTCCTAGTATCTCTGACCATTCTTCAATCATCTTGGCTCAATACTTATTGGGAAATATTAGAATCCCAATGAATATCTGAAATAAATAAAAGTTATAATTAATATAGAATAATGTTTCTCTTAGCTATATAGGTGAATAGCAAACAAAATCTAAACTGAACTAAAAAGGCCTCTATTGACAAATGCAATGCTTGGCTGACTATAGAAAAGATGTCAGTCTAAAGAATAGTTAAACTATGTTGCTAATATGATCAAATTTATACTCTGATTTATCTATGGATCTCATACTTACATGACATAAGCCAAAATATACACTTCTTTTTCTGAATACACTTTGTTGTAGGAAATCTTTATATTAGAAATTTTTATTCAAATCAGACCAAATATGAGAGAAGTTTTTCTGAACTCAATTTACACAGTCTCCCCCTGCCAGAAGAAATTTCCTATAACATTCTTCTTTATTTTCCAACTGAAAGCAAGTTACCAAGAAACGGTGTCTCAACAATGGCAACTCTATCCTTCTGTTTCTCAAATCTAAGAAAAACGTTAAATTATTCTAGACTCCTCTCTCTTTTTTACCTCCCATATGTGATTCATCAGCAAAATCTGAGTTCTGAGTTCAAAATATTCCTAGAATCTGACTACTTCCTGCCACTACTATCATGATTCATGAAGCAACCATCATTCTGTACGGCAGCAACTATCATCTCTCACTCAGTTTACTGCAACAGCCTTCTAAACCACAGTTGACAAATTTTTTCTATAAAGTGCCTGTTATGAATTGAATTGAGTCTTTCAAAAAAATGTGTCAGCTTGGCTGGGCCATGATTCCCAGTGGTCTGGCAGTTATGTAATGATGTAATCACCCCCCATGATGTGATCTGATGTTATTAGCCAATCTGTTGGAAGGCGATTAGGGTAGGATACAACACGTTTAATCAGGTAACAGCCTTGATCCACTGTAAAGGGAGTTTCTGTGAGCTGTGGCCTATATCACCTTTTATCTTACAAGAGATAAAAGGAGAGAGAAGCAAGGAGGGAACATTGAGAAAGTACCACAGAGTACCACCGACAAACAAGAGCCAGGAGCACAGCATGTCCTTTGGACCTAGGATTCTTGTGCCGAGAACCTCGTAGACCCAGGAGAAGACTGATGCCAGGACTTGGAAATCTCCAAGAAACACCAAGTGCACAGACGTCTGAAAGGAGGCAAGAACCTTCCCCCAGAGCCAACAGAGAAAGAAAGCTTTCCCATAGAGCTGGTGCCCTGAATTCAGACTTCTAGCCTCTTAAACTGTGAGAGAATAAACTTCTATTAAAGCCATCCACTTGTGGTTAGTTATCTAGTGTTATAGCAGCACTAGATAACTAATATAGTGCCAGATAGTAAATATTTTATGCTTTGTGGGCCATACAGCCTCTGTTGGAACTACTCAAATTCTGCCATTGTAGCACAAAAGGAGCCACAGAGAATAAATAACATCCCTGTGTTCCAATAAAATTTTATTTACAAAATATGCAGTGGGATGAATTTGTCCCCTCAACTGTGATTTGCCTATCTGTTGGCACAGTATTTCAGCTTTAGCCTTTGCCTTCCTAAGGCTATTTTTCACACAGGAGCTATAATTATCCTTTTAAAAAGAAAATCAGATCATGTGACTCCTCTGACTTTCCATTTAAATGGTCAGAGTAAAAGTCAAAATCTTTAAAATACCAGTGCCATCCAGTCAATTCTGACTCACAGCAATGCTATAGGACAGAGTAGAACTGCACCCTAGAGTTTCCAAGGCTATCTTTACAGAAGCACAATGTCCCATCTTTATTCCACCGAGGGACTGTGGGGTTTGGAACCACTGACTTTTCAGTTAGCAGCTGAGTTTAACTACTGAGCTACCAGAACACCTTATACAATCTGCCCCCTTGTCATCTCTCTGCATCTTTTACTCTACTCCTCTTCACTCTTTCCAACCACACTTTGCCTTTATTCACAAGTTACCTTCCCAGTGAACCCTAACTACCATCTACTCTATATCCCTTTTCCTGCTTTCTCTTTATCCAGGCATTTACTACCATCTGACACACCTTATGTTTAACTTATTTGTTTATTATATATATATTCTCAGCCTCCTTAGTATATAAACTTCTTGAGGACAGTGTGTCAGACACCCAGCAAATGCACCATAAATATTTGCTAAGTGAAGAAACGAATAATAAAACATAGTTCTGTTGTTGTTGTTGTTGTGTGCCGTCAAGTCAGACCCAACTCATAGCGACCCCTCCTTGGGTTTCCGAGGCAGTAGCACTAAGGAAGTAGATTGCCCCATCTGCCTTTTGAGGAGTGGCTGGAGGGTTTGAACCGCCAGCCTTCTGGTTAGCAGTCAAGTGCCTTAGGCACTACGCTACGAAAGCTCCCTAAAATATAGTTCCTAAGCTTTAAAAATAGATATCATTTAATCTTCAAAATTTATTTTAAATTTCAAGAAAAAAAATTAATAAGAAATTATTAGAATGAAGCTTATGGCATTTTTATACAAGCAATATTGGTTAAGGTAATAAATCTTCAGCAATAAAAAAGAAACTGTCAACTAATAGAATTGAAATAATCACCTCCAACCATAAGTTTCCAAATGCAATTTTCATTTCAGTTTCTAATATTGTAGATAAAGCTGTTCCAAGAGATTTTTCAAGCTCAGATATAATGCTTTCAAGTAGAATGGATAGCCCAGAATTTGTAGATTCTTCATCATAGCTCTCTTTCAAGGATGTTGCTTCTTTAAAACAAATAATTACAGGCTTTATTTAAAGCATTAATAGCAAATATTTTACATGTATAATTAGGATAAATAGTAAAACATTTTATGTATATAATTCACATTTGAATTACCTACAAAACAAGTCCTTTATTTTTAAAACAGTATTGAGAAACATGTATCTGTATAATAGTTGTTTTAGGTGCACATAAATATTGCTTTATCTTTTCTACAAAAAAACAACTAAATATTTTTAAGGAAATATGTGCAATATTTTAATTGAAATTTAAATTTATTATTTTCAAAAAGGAAAATTACTTTCAAAAAGAAGAAAAATTACAAGAATGCTTTGGATCCATTTACAATGAAACTATGGATTAAGATCCATGAATCAAAAAGGATTTTGTTTCCAAAATAATATATCCTTCTAATCTCAGCATACATCTATAAATTGTTTTGAAAGACCAAAATCTCTGGCTTAACCATCCTTATACTCTCACCTTTAGAAAGCAGCTTTTATTATTTTAACTGATTTAATTTCATTAACATTACAATTTGATACCTGAAAAACAACTGCAATTTCTTTAAGGTAAAATGCAAAATATTACATGGCTTATCACTATAAATACAAACTAATGGGTTAAATGACAGTAATATAATGGGGAAACTAAAAGCATGTTATCCTTCGAAAGCAAGGGTAAAAATCCTGTTAAACGCACTGCCTTCGATGTGATTCTGACTCACAGTGACCCTGGAGGAGTACAAATCCATAGGGTTTCCAAGACTGTAAATCTTTATGAAGCAGACTGTCTCATCTTTCTACCATAGAGCAGCTGGTGGGTTTGAACTGCCAACCTTTTCATTAGCAGCCAAATGTTTAAACCACTACACCACCAAGATCCTTAGGATATTCTGTTAGTCTTTCTAAATGTCATTTTGAATATTATGACACAAGATATAACTTTGTTGTTAGAGTGATGATTAGTACGTCATCACTAAAATATCAAGAGTTGATTTCCACGAATAAGAATTCATTGACACCAAGTGAAACAAAGTGGTGATCTCTATAGTTGCTCAGGACTCTTAGAACAACAAAAAAAGATATACTGTCACCAAAGAGGGCAAATTAAGCAACATCTGTGCATGTATTATAAACAACAAAAGTACATATGATATTAGAGACCCCAACAATTACCCAACAGGGAAAAGGTGGAGTGTTTTTAATGACGTCAGATTTGATACAACATTCCATCAGAACAGATTATTCAGTAGAAAAAGGGATAAAATAATGCTAATGCCTTTACCGTTCTTAAAAATTATTGCAAAAAACAAAAGGCTTTACTGGCATCCTATAAGTTTCACTGTTGCTATCTGAGTTTTTCCTGCATTTGTAAAAGGTTATGAATATGAAACTAAAAAATTATCTCCATCTCTAATGAATATTTCCTGTAGCTACTATTAATTTAAAAGTTATAGTCTGCATTGGAGAACTTAGCATGCATGCTGTGATGATAAATATGTAAAAATGTATGTGAGAATATGCACAAAAACCCAATTTAATTTGTAAAAGTATATATAGAAGGCAATAATGTTAATTATGGTGTTTTTTATCATTGTAATTTTCATTTATTTCTCCCATTTACATGTCAGCAAATATTCTAAACTTAGTATTATTTTAAACACACAAGATGAAAATTTACTAATTTCAAATGCTACCAACAAGCTTATTGCATAAAATAAGATAAATTTCTAATTATTCATAGTAAACATACTACCTGCTTTCAATTGCTGCTTAGAAATACAAGGCTGATGACACACATCTGTGTTCAGAGATAAGTTTAATAACTCTGCACTCAATTCTTCTTTACTGAGTGACTTCACACCACTTATTAGGCTTTTGTTTCTTAAATTTCTATCATCCCTAAGGTTGGGGTTAGGAGGAAAAATTATTTTACTTATCACAAGATAAATCACATAGAAAAAACATACATGGGACCTAATCAGTTGTTGACTCCCAGTATATATATTAACAAAGGATAATCATTTTAAAACTAGAGAAAATAAAGGAATTAACATATACTGTAGTGACATCATATGAGCTTTGGGGAACAATAATAGTTAAAATTTACTGTTTACCTGGTACTAGGTAGGCACTGTTCTAAGCATCTGATATACATTAATCCACTTAATTCTCAAAACAAATCTCTGAAGTAGGAGTCATACTAATTTTATCCCCATTTAACAGTTAGAAAAACGGAAATATTAAGAGGTAAAGTAACTTGTCTGAAGATATATACCTGATATGTGGGAGCTGGACTAGAATATAGGAATATGACCAAAGAGAAATAAACATAAATAGAGAGCCACAGTAAAAGAAATAACTATTTACACAGAACAGGCAGTCACAAAATTCCCTCACAACGCATAAGATAAATGATGTGAATCTTCTGTTTGCTGAAAGAAGCCAGTCTGATTAGAGCACAGTACATGAGACCAGCTTATGAGGTTACAGAGAAAGGCAAGGGCATTAACTAATGAGAAGATATTTAAGGTGATTAATGAGGAGAAGTGGCATGATTAGACTTCTGTTTATTAAATTATTATTCTGGAATCCAGCAAGCATCCAGATTTTGTTAACAGAACAGGAGCTTGATCAGACTAACATTCTCACAGACGATACTTTCAAAACATGGAAGAAAAGTAAAAATAATTATTTGAAGGCACTGCTGTTGTTGCTGTTGTTATGTGCCATCGAGTCAGACCCGACTCATAGCGACCCCTCCTTGGAATTCCGAGGCAGTATCACTACAGAAGTAGATTGCCCCATCTTCCTTCCAAAAAAACAGAAAAGGCTTAAAAAACAAAAAGGCAGAGCATCCAAGAGCCAGCACAATACTAAACAATATAACTTAAGTGCATGTATCAGTTACCCATTCCTGTGTAACAAATTACCCCAAAACTTACCAGCTTAAACCAATAAACATCTGTTATCTCACATAGGCCCCAAGAATCATGAACGTGGAAGCAATTTAACTAGGTGATTCTGGCTCAAGATCTCTCAAATTTGGAATCAAGCTGTTGTCTAGAGCTGCAGCCATATCAAGGCTTAATTAGGGCTCACTCACATGGATGACAGAAGGCCTCAGCCCCTCACTGGCTCTTGGCTGGAGGTTTCAGATTTTCACCAGATGGAAATCTCCAGTGCTACTCAAACATGGCAGCTTACTTCCTAGAGGAAGTGATCCCTGAGAGAGGAGAAAACAGGAAAGGCCCAAGAAGGAAGCCACAACCTTTTATAACCTAATCTCAGAAGTGACATACCATCAAGTCTGAAGCAGGAGGGGACAATACAAGAACATGAATACCAGAAGACAGGTTTCATTGGGGACCATCTTGGAGTCTGACTGTTGTTGCTGTTAGGTGCTGTCAAGTCAAGTTTGACCCACAGTGACTCCATGTAATAGAGTAGAACTTCCCCATAGGGTTTTCTAAGCTATAATATTTACAGGAACAGATCAATAGGTCTTTATGCTTCAGAGTGACTGTGTGAGTTTGAACAGCCATCCTACTGGTTAGCGGTCAAGTGCTTAACCACTGCACCATCAAGGCTTCTGGAAGCTAGTTACAATAATGAAATTGTATAAAACTCCAGAAGAAGAGAGAGAATGGAGCAAAAGAAATATCTGAAGAAATAAAGGCCGAAAATTTTCCAAAATTAAAAACAGGCACCAAACTATAGATTCAAGAAGGTCAGAGCACACCAAGCATGACAACCCTCCTACTACCAAAATAAAAGCACCTAAGCACATCATCTTCATACTACTAAAAACAAAAGATAGTATTTAAAAGTAGCCACTGATCAAGTGACATTTTTTAGAAAAGGTATAAATGAGCAAATAATGGAAATAAAATTATATCATTAAAAATACACAACTACAAGTAGAGAACTCTGGTGGCATAGTGCCTAAGGCAAGTGACTGCTAACCAGAAGGCTGGTGGTTCAAACCCACCAGCCACTCCTCGGAAGGATGATAAGGCAAACTACTTTCACAGTGATACTGCTGCGGAAACCCCAGCAGAGGTCACTATGAATCACAATTACTATAATTACTCAAGGGGAGAAAGAAAAAAAAGAACAGATGGAACAAATAAAAACCAATTAGCAAAATGGTCATTTTAATCCATTTTTAAATGGATTAAATGTGAATGGTCTAAATGCATCAATTACAAAACAGAAATTTTCAGACTGGATAAAAAAATAACTAACTATATGTTCTCTATGAGAAACCTACTTTAAATATAAAGAAATAGGGTTCCGGCAAGATGGCGGACTAAGCAGAAAGACTGCACAGGCCCTCTCCAACAAAGAAAAGGGAAACCAATTAACACAGACACAGAAGATAATTTTGGACCCTTGACCCTTGAAGGGAAGGATATAGAAGTGGACTAAACCCCAACTAGCAGAAGAACCTGCGTGAAAATACCAAAAAAGGAGACAGATGGAGCTGCGGTCTGGCAGTGATCCTGAGCGATCCTGA